AGGCTGAAGTGGGTAGGGGGGATTACAAGAAACTGAAACTTAAAGCTTTTATGGGAAATGTAGACTTAACCTAAAAAGAATGGGGAGGGGATGGGGATTTACAAGGAGCTGAAACTTAAGTCTTTACTGGAAATGGAATTTTAATCTTTATTGAAATGGTGCATACAGAAGAGAAAGGAGGTGCATTGGTTAGAACTAGGTTACAACATTCCCCCCTGATATTGTGACTGAGGCCAAATCCTTGGCCAGTTAGTTGGGAGGAGTGTATAGGCCATATTTCCTCCACAAATAAATACTTGTCCTTTGGCAGGATAAAGGGAAGTAGTCTGTTTAATTATGGAACTACAATTAGTAAATGCAACAAACCCCATGTCAATGTCAGAGGTATCATTATGAAAACCTCCTTGGAGACAGAGAGTCCTTGAAGCCTACTGGTTGTACTCTAAAGGGGGACCAGCACTACAATTTAAGAAATCTTGTTCCTTCAGAGTGGTCAGAGAAACATTGGTGGGGATTGCAAGGGGTATGGGGGAGCCCTATGCCATGTGTAACCAGCCCACATTTGAGTCAAACTCCCTGTAACTGAGGGTATAGCAACAAGGAATGCTAACTTGTCCCCACAATCTGTCCCAAGACCATACTACATAATTTATCATTTATATGGGAAGGACCATGATCCTTTTTTCCTATTGTATGTATAACTCCCCACCACTGGTGTCTTTACCTTTAGTATAACCTCTTCCACAATCACAGGGGCTCCCATACAAAGATCTCAACAATTGTTCTTTGCTGACAGGGGGATCAAAGCTGCTGTACAAGGTCGGAATCAACGTTATTAAAATCCCCAGCAGTGGGATAGAAGGAGCAAAAGCAAGCAAGCTAAAGCAGTTCATGACTGGTATGATCTAAGTATGTTTAGTCAATTTTAACTTCAAGGGGTTACCAGTCTGTTGTATAGGCTTTACACGAGTATGGTGAATCCACGCAGTTTTTCCTGCTACCTTGATGGCAGTGGGGGTACTGTGCACAATGGTGAAGGGTCCTTCCCGACGGGGTTCAAGGGAGTCTTGATGGTGACATCACACCAGGACAGAAGTTCTTGGCTCAATGGGTGCTTTGAGTGGCGTTTCTGAAGGCAGGTCTGGGTGTTTTTGTCTAAATAGCTGGTGGATCAAGGCCAACACAGGCTGGAGTGTCTGCAGTAACTTAATGAGGTCTTGGTTAGTTATTTCAACTAATTGGTCCTCTGACAGTCTTGAGACCAGTGGAGGGGGCCTTCTGAACATAGCCTCAAAGGGGGATATTCCAGAAACATATGGGGTACATCTAGTTTTTAACAGTGCAAAGGAAAGAAGGCTCACCCAATTATTGCCAGTTTCTAAAGACAGCTTAGCTAAAGTGTCCTTGAGAGTTCTGTTCATACATTCTACTTGCCCTGAGCTTTGTGGCCAATAGGCACAGTGGAGTTTCCAATTAATCTTTAATGCCTGGGTGACTAATGCCTAATTTTTGGGTGACTTGGGCAATGAAAGCCGGGCCTTTCTTGGACCCCATTGATAGTGGGAAGCCAAATTGAGGTATGATCTCATGCAATAGCTTTTTAACTACCACTAAGGCTGACTCAGACTACTAGGGAAAGCCTCTACCCAGCCAGTGAAGGTGTCTACTAATACCAAGAGATAGCAATGCCCCTGTAAACTAGGCTTTACCATGTCTGTGAAATCTACTTCCCAATGTTCTCCTGGAAGAATTCCTCAATGTTGGGTAGTCTCCAGCATAAAGCTCTTGGCTGAGTTGACTAACAAGCATTGTGGGCATCTGGAGGCCAAAGAGGTGGTCAGTTTGGAAAGTTTTGGAATAAAAAACCAAGTTCTGAACAATTCAGCAAGTTTAGTTCCCCCTAAATGGGTAGTTTGGTGAGCCTGGTGTAAAAGCTCAAACCCTAGTGCCTCAGGTAACAGTACTCATTTATCAGGTAACTGGTACCAGCCCCCTGGGGTGGGGGACTTCACTCCAAGTTGAGATGCTAACTGTAAGTCTTTCTTTGTGTAGGCTGGTTCTGACAAGGTTGAAGGAACTAGCATCAGAGCAGTTACTTCCTCAGCTGGCCCCTCTGATGTGGTTGCTATTTTTTTAAATGGCTTTATCTGCCAAATTGTTTCCTAAGGTGGCAGGGTCATCTCCTGTCTGGTGAGCCTTGCAATGAATAATAGCAACTCATTGAGGTAGCCAGACAGTTGCCAGCAAGTCTAGAATCTGTGGAGCAATTTAAATGTTAGTCCCGTCCAAGGTTAAGAGACCTCACTCCTGATAGATGGCTCCATGTACATGTCAGTATAGATGTTTAACCTCTTTCCTGTGGCTAGTTTTAGCACCTGAGTCAAAGCAATGAGCTCCGCCTTATGGGCAGAGGTGCCAGGCTCTAACCACTTAACCCAGAGTGCCTCCTTTTGGGTGGTCACTGCTGCCCCAGCCACTCATTTGCCATTCTGGATGAAGCTGCTTCCATCAGTGAAATAGTTGATGGCATTTCCCAAAGGCTGGTAGGTAAGATCAGCCTGTAGGTTCTGCTGCAGTTTGAGGATGTCAGCACACTCATGGAGAGGTGTCCTTTGTTCCTCTGGGTCATTGTCAGGCATAAGGGTAGGAGCTGAAGGAGTCTTGAAAACTACAGACTCTGGGTCTAGAAACGGCCTGATAGTGTAAAATTCTAGCATTCGAGAGCCATTTTTCGGGAGGGGTTTTGATAAGAGTCTCTAAACTGTGGGAGGTCACTACAGAAATCTTCTGTCCAAAAGTGAGTTTTTTTAGCCTCTTTATGTAACATTGCCACAGCAGTTAGGATTCTTAGACAAGGAGGCCATCTACCTGCCACTGGATCAAGCCTTTTGGAGGCCATAGGCCTCTTCCAAGGGTCAATGTCCTGGGTTAGGACTCCTTTGGCAATGCCCCTGAGTTTATCTATGAACAAAGTGAATGGCTTGGTATCGATAGGGAGTCCCAGAGCTGGAGCCTCTGTTAGGGCCTGCTTGAGCTGCTGGAAGGCCTATTCACATTTGTCTGTCCAGTTTAATGACTTTTGAGTCTCTCCCTTAAGGAAGTCATACAGCGGGCAAGCTATTTTGGTAAAATTTAGAATCCACAATCTACAGTATCTGACAGCCCCCAGAAACTCACGTACTTGCTTTTTGGTTCCTGGGGCTAGATGGAATCTGTAATATGGCCTGGATTATTTCTTTGGATAAAGTCCTTTTTCCTTCTTGCAGTTTATAGCCACGGTCTGGTGGCACAATTGGGCCTTTTTGGCCGAAACCTTGTAGCCTAATCACCCCAAGGTCTTTAACAGCCCCTCGGTTGCTTCCTGACAGGATGCTAAGGAGGACAAGGCCACCAATAAGTCATCTACATACTGCAGTAGTAATATTTCAGGGTGTTCTTCACTAAACCCCAAGAGATCTCTGGCTAATGCCTCATCAAAGAGAGTAGGTGAGTCTTTAAAACCCTGAGGTAAGCGAGTCCAGATCAGCTGTTCCATTACCCCTGAATCTGGGTCAGTCCATTCAAAGGCAAAAAGGCGTTGACTCACTGGGGTGAGAGGCAGAGTGAAAAAGGCATGCTTGAGGTCCAAAATGGAGTACCAGGTGTTCTCTGGGTTGAGGAGGCTGAGTAAAGTAGGCACAGTGGGGTGCAGAGTCAATACTGTCTAGTAACTTCTCGGAGATTCTTGCACAGAGCACTAGTCAGTTGTCCCTGGTTTCTGGACTGGAAGTAGAGGCACGTTCCATGGAGAGACACACGGAATGAGGATACCATTTCCCCTTAGTCTCTGAATGTGAACTTTAATTCCCTTTCAGGCTTGTAGGCTTATTAGGTATTGGTGCAAACAAATGGGACACGCTTGGGGTAGAAGCTCCACCACAGGGGCACTTGGTTGACTGGGGGGTTGGTTACAGCCCAAACCTCTGGAATTTCTTGTTTCCATTTGTCTAATAGCTCTAGCTCCAAATCTGTGGCTGACGACTCAGGCATACTGGACAAGTTTCCCAGCAGGAGGTAATTTTCCCCTTCTGGGACAAGAGCTAGTACTCTGATGCCTTCAGGGTCTAGAGTTGAGTCTTCCCCTAATCTTAGCCTTGGCCCATTTGTAAAGAAATCAATTTGCACTTGCAATTTATGTCTCATCCTAGGAGAAGATCTTGGCAATCCAGTACTCATAGAAAATCATGTTGGACCAGCTTATGTCCAGGGCAAGCCAAACTAGCTGTCACTTTTGGGCATAATTTTCATTCCCCTGTGGCTCCTATTACATTAACCGAGTCCTTGGTTAGCTTTCCTAAGGGTCACGTCAGCACAGAATAGGTGGCTCCTGTATGGACCAGGAAGTCCACTGGTTGCCTCCCCAATTTGAAGAGTTATCAGGGGCTTGGGAGGTGGTGACCGGCCCTGACCTCCTCATTGTTGAGACAATAGGGCCTTTGCTTCTTTCTCTAACTTAGCCTTTAGCGTTGGGCAATCCCTATACCAATGTCCCATCTCTTTGCAGTATGCACATTGTTCTTTATCAAGAGGAGGTCGCTGACCTCTTGTTAGTATTGGCTGATCTCTTAGTTTCTTTTTCACAGAGCAATTCTAACACCTTGGTCATTTTTTATTTGTGGCTTCCTGCAAGCTCTCTCTGTTTTCAGAGACCTTCTGTGCTATCTCTATCAACTGGCTGAGGAACATCCCTTCAAATCCCTCAAGCTTTTGTAACTTTTTCCTGACTTTGGGGGCAGACTGTGACACAAAAGCAATATTAGTTGCTCATGCATTTTCAGGTGCCATCAAAATAATTGGCATATGTAATCTATATACCTCTAAAAGGCACTCCAAAAACATAGCAGGAGATTCATCAGCTAATTGTCTTACCTCAGTCAATTGAGATAAATTGGTGGGCTTCTTGGTGGCAGCACAGAGTGTGTCTAGAAGCCTCAGATGATAATCATCAAGAGCCGTCTTACCTTCATCTGTATTGGGGTCCCAGTTAGGTCAGGAGGAAGGGAACAGGCGTTTGATTCTCTACTTATCAGTAGATGTAGATCCGTCTAGTTCTCAGACTCCTTTTTGCCCAAGAGTGTGAATGCACAGTCTCTCTTCAGCTGTGAAGAGGATGTGCAGGATCTGTTGGCAATCATCCCAAGTGGGGCAATGGATAGAGAATACAGATTCTAAAAGGTTAATCAGAGTTTCAGGGTCCTTAGAAAAAGGAGGATTTTGGGCTTTCCAATTATAAAGGTCTGCAAATGAGAAAGGGGTTTACACAAACATTGAGCTCCATCCAGCCGAGGGACCTCCCGTAATGGACAAAGTAGAGTCACCTCAGAGCTTTGCTCTAAAGACACCTCAGGCCACGGGTGTCAGGAGGTGTGAATGGGATGCAGTGGGGATGGAGCAGTGGAGTCAGGTTGAGGGTCAGAGGTGGGGTACAGGGGAGGCAGCGAGAGTGCCTCCAGCAGGTCAAGGGGGTCTTCCTCAGAGGGCAGGACTGGAGGCATGGTAGGATCAGAACGCAGCTTCTTGGGTTTCACTTTTGGTTTGAGGGCCACAGTGACTCTGTCATGAGAGGACTTAATCCAGAAGGGGCATCATAAATTATGTCTATCCAGATCTGAATATAGACAATTTGGTCAGGGTGAGCAGGGGACCCAAAAACATACCAGCGAGTAGCTTGTGCTGTCTCCATGTTGAAAGACCCAGAGGGGGGACAGACCCCCTGGGTCCCTAACAGCCATTCCTGTGTGACAAAAGTTGTTAATTTGGCTTTATGAACTCTTTCCCCATATCCCTCAGTCCGCTGCTTGAATTCCTTGAAGTGATCAAGCACAAGACTAAGGGGTGTGCTGAATTTAGATTCAGCTTTCCCAGTGGCCAACAAGGATGTCGGTTTCTTTTTTGTTTTCTGGGAGAGTCTAAGAGACAAAAATAAGATTAGGAGGAAGAGACAGAACAACAATAAGATGCAAAAAATCGTCAAAATCCCGTTGTCCATTTTGGGCTTGTAGAAGGGGTTCCTAGGAGAAAATGTTCTATTAGATTTGGGTAACCAAAAGCAGAACAACTAGAACAAATGGACACACAGACAGACATACAAGACAAGACAAGTTGCAGCAAAAATAGCCTTTGCACAAAAATTGGCCAAATTTTGGAAGTGGTCAAATTTTGGGATCTGGAGCAATTAACAAATTAACCACTGGAGCGGATCTCCTCCCAGGGCAGAGTCACAAATGGATGAGATTTGTCCCAAAAAAACAAATGACTCTGTCCTCAGGAGGTCCTCACTCCCCAGATTGAGAGCATCCCCTCCCAATGGTATGGTTCCCCACCCAGGGCAGAGTCCCAAATGGATGAAATTCATCCAAAAAAACCAATTGATTCTGTACTCAGGAGGTTCCCACTCCCCAAATTGAGGGCGCCCCCTCCCAAAGTGCAAACTAACCATGGTCTAATTAATCCCTCCACAATACTTACTTTTAGGTGTTCACAATTGAGTCTGGGATCTTGCTTCCATCCCAGATGAGCCCCCAAATCTGATAGCTCGGACCCCAGAATAAAATCCAAGGAAGCAAGAAATTAAAATTTGGGGAGCAAAGGCTTTATTTTAGGCCAGGCCTGGTGACACAGCTTCCAGGAGCCAATATGGAGACTGTGTGCCTTACAGCTGAAAGGGTTGGGTTTTAAAGCTGAAAGCCACAAGAATGTTGTGAACTTTGACCAGTTTGATAACTTCCTTGTAGTTAAACATTTCTTAAGGACAGCACATTGTATTGCAGAAAGGCTAAAGGGGGTGGGGGGGATTACAAGAAACTGAAACTTAAAGCTTTTGTGGGAAATGGAGACTTAACCTAAAAAGAATGGGGAGGGGATGGAGATTTACAAGGAGCTGAAACTTAAGTCTTTACTGGAGATGGAATTTTAATCTCTATTGAAATGGCACATACAGAAGAGAAAGGAGGCACAATGGTTAGAACTAGGTTACAACAATATCATGTACAAAATTTGAATTCCCTATGGTAAGTGTGGTTATTATCCATATCTAAAGTAAACCAGTATAGTTAATTATTTAAAACAAAGCAAAAAGATTGAAGAATTGTTTCCATAAGCTTCAAGAATTATGGGATAAACAAGGACACTATTATGAGGGTGATTCATGGCCGTGGGTCTGTTTTTGTAATACATTTTTTAGAATCTGGACATTTACCATGTTTCTTGGTCACATGTCACATATTTCCTTTTACATCCAGTTTAAAATTCAAGCTGAGGGCTGGGGATATAACTCAGGAGCCCAATGCCTGCTTGAGACACACGAAGTCATGAGTTCAATTCCCAGGTTATTTTGTTAAATTGAAAACTAAATCTGTATGTAGAGGTTTAAGCCTTTAATCCCAGCATATGGGAGACTAAGACAGGAGGATCACTGGAAATTCAAAGATGGGCTGACTGGGCTACACAGCAAGACTCAATCTCAAACCAAAAGTAAAACAGAACAAAAACCCCCACACAAACCTCAAGCCAAATTAATGTGCATTCTATGGATAATTTATATTAAATTTCTTGTTGAATTTGGATGATAAAATGACAAGTATCACAGGACTCCTGCCATCTTTCTAACTAACATTTGATTAGGTGAAAAAAATTATCATCAAACATGCCAGGTAGTAGTTATGATACCTGATTAAAGTAAGGAAAAAATCTACATGGAAAATTTAGAATGGAGATGATCATTGTTTGCAGATTGAGAGAATTTAAGATGTTTGTGATATAACAATTTTATTATTATACTCATGGTGATCATATTTTCATTTTGTGAAAACATATATCAAAAAGGTTTCATTGGATTAATAGGACTCATAGATTTATAAGAATACCATCTTTCTTTTAATTTTCTATGACCATTAATCTTGATTGTGAGTTTGATTGCAATGAATGAAAAACAGTTCAAAATCAAGGAACATTTTAATACAGTTAAGTCAAAATTTGAAATTAAAAACTGTCAGTAAAGACTTCAGTAAAACATATGGATAGGTTGTGGAACATTTGGTATTGGGTGCTGAAAGTTTTGTTTTACTCAATTTCAGGAACTAGTCCAAAAGCCCCAAATGTCAATATCAAGATAGCCAAGAGTCCTGACTGTCAGTCTCAAGGATGTCTCCAGAAAAATGAAACCCAGAGACAAGTATTCTGTTCCAAAAATAGCTCTGGACCTGCCCTTCTCCACTCCCAAAACAGCTACTTTTATTTGTCTATACAATGATAGTTGGGGCTAGCAAAGGATTACAATTAGTCTAACTCCCACTCCAGAGTGCATAGGTAATCTTATGTTTGAAGTATTTTGAATGGAATATAACCCTGTGATGATTTAAGAAAGCATATGTGATCTTATGCTTAAAAGCATCTTGTACTGGAGTGTAATCCTCAAATGACTTAAGAAGGCATAGATAATTTTATGCTTAGAAGAGTCAATGGTAAATCTCAGATTGGTGGGAAAGGTAATTCCAATTCTTCCTTTTATCCCTTATAGAAATACACAAAACCAGTCATTGTGAATTGTGGTCCCTAACAGTCTGAACTCAATGTAAGTGGATCTTGTGGAAAGAAAAAAGTGCAACAAATAGAACTAAAGTTTTACTTTTAAATTTCATATTCAATTAATGATTAATTTACCACAAAATCTGATAAACATTATCATATTCCTTTGCATGCAATTGGTTACGGAAACCCCTTTGATATAAGGTGAAAGGTGCTTGCCTCAGTAGAAATTAATGGCAGTAGTCTAATGAGGCAAAAAGCCAAATTGGGACTGCCTATCACTTCCTGCTCCTTTTCTAGCTCCTGTTTGCATATGAAGAAAATTCCAATTGGCTGCTCTCACATCAGCAATGCCTGCCCTAAGTGCAACCCCACTTGAAAATGTTATACTAAGATGTTGAAAAATTAAGTTATTAACAAAAATAGCTATTAAAAGCATAGCTATTAGCAGTATTGTCATTCTGTGCTGAGCTCGTTACTCTAGTAACCAAGCACCAACCACATAGTTATAGATTAAGCACCAACCACGTCATCATGCTGTTCTGTATGTGTCGTTCCCCTCCCATCCTAGTAACCTGTGTGCTGTGTCAACTTTTGTTCCCTTTGTAATTGACAAATAATCCTATGTCAATCATTGTTCCCTTTATGAGAGACAAATGTTCCTAGAATTGCCAGACAAAGGACTCTGAATTGGCTAACCACCCACTGTGAAATGCCTCTGACCTCAAGCAAAGACCAACAAAGGCCCACCTTGTTTGTGTTTCTCATCCCTATGTCCTTAATGATAAAAGAGCTAATCATAAATGAACTATAAAAATCAGTCAAAATTCTAACTCAGTTGCATAGCTTTGCAAATTCCATCTGCTCTTTGTCATATACCATGCCCAATGCTTCCAGGGCCTGATGCTCATGGAGTTCTCTCCACCTCCATAGAATAAAGGTTATTTTTTACTTTATATTCTCTCTTTCATCATGGTGAAAACTTTCATAGAGGAAAGAGACACTCGACCTACTATGTCCAATATGAGCTTGTGTTCTCTAAAACTGAAGAAACAATTTTAGGAACAATGGATGTGAAGAGTAGAATACATTTACTGACACAAAGAAAGCATCTTTTAAAAGAGAGACAGAAGGGGTACTGAGTAGGATACTGAGGACTCTGTCTTTTCCAAGGACTTTTATAGAGCACAATCATGAAATTAGATGGCTCAAAGGTGGGGAAAAGTGGGAATTTGCAAAATGGACATAAAATGGGACAGAACTGTGGTCAACCAATAAGATTAACTGCCCAGATAAAATTGATTAAATTGGGAACCAATGGGAAGCAAGCCATGTAGAAAACAGGCATTCTTTGAGAGCAGTGACTCTTCCCTAGGGATTGGAGTGGTGACTTCAAGGTGATCCAAATTTAATCTCTATGGATCATACTTAAGGATAGGTTGCATTTGTTTTGCTTTCTCTTTTGAGATCTGACCCACAGCAAGAGGTGTGTGTCCCCTCCGAGGTCATCAGATATCTGATTCTCTCTGCCAGTTTCCTTGAGGGCCTAGCCCTGTCTGACTGCCTATAATATTTCTAACTGGCTCAACTGCCTGTAACATTACCCCTCTGAACAAGTAACCCAAACTGCCACAAGAGGGTAATGGACTATGATTGATCAAGCTGCTTCAGGCTGAACAGGGTCACAGTGTTTGAATGGCAGTCAGAGGTACTTGCACAGAGATCCTGTCTAGAGGCCCTTGATAGACACCAGGTATTTTCATCTTGGGTGTGTGTCCAGCTTTAAGTGAAGGAAGTCCTGATGTACTGGTCAAGGGCAATAAGCCACATATCCAGCAAAGTGTTTGTTGCAATGATTTTGCATATTCTTATGTCCATATTAAAAAGGAATTGCACCCTCTTTAAGTGGTGAAGTGAACAGTAAAAGTCTAATATTAGCATTACTTATCTGAAGTCTTTGTTTTCTTTTTGAAGAGAATCTTAAGTCTTCTACAGGTTCACAGGCATATGGGAGTGGTTGCTCACTTCCAGTAACAGTTTCTGGTTTCCAAGGTTTAAGTCTGATGTGATGTATCCAGGAATCTAGAACTGTTGTCTTGACTGTGAAAGGAGTTGACAGGATAACAGTATAAGTTCCTTCCCAAATTGTATTAGGGAAGGAGATGATGAGGGGAGAGATTTTACCAGTACTAAATCTCCAGGAATATAGGATTTCCTTTTTCTGTAGACTGAGCTTCTGTTAGCTTTCAAAGAGTTTGTTGAAACTTAGGCAATGAAATAATGTCTTTTAATAAGACATCAAGTTCTCTGTGGAAGAAAAAATCATTAGTTAGGAAAGGATTTCCATAAAGCATTTCAAATGGACTAATGGTTAGGATTTGAGGTATATTTCTTATTCTGATAAGACCTAAAAATGGTAAGTGAGGCCACTGAAAATAAGTTTCCTAAGTCATTTTATGAAGAGGCCTTTTCAGGGTCTCATTTAGCTTGTCTACTTTTCCTGATGACTGTGGCCTCCATACACAATGGAGGTGATAGAGAATGCCAGTGCCTGAGAGACATTGTGTGTTACTGCTGCTTTAAAAGAAGGTCTATTATCACTTTGTAAGCTCTTAGGAAGTCTGAATCTGGGGATGATTTCTGAGACTAAACTTTCACTACCTTCTATACTTTTTCTGTTCTGTAAGGGAAGGCCTCAACCCAGTTTATGGCAGTACCTACCCAAACCAGTAAGTATTGAAGTTCTTTATATTTTGGCATATAGGTAAAATTGAGCTGCCAGCCTTCTTCAGGATATTTACCATGCATCTGTATGCCTGGAGGAATTATGATTCATTATGGTTCAGTTAAGAGGATTGTTCTTTTGGCAGAGCTCACAGGTCTTAGTTACATGTCTTATTGTCTGATCAAGTCCTTTTCCTATAAATAGCTTTGAGGCCATCTGTTGAGTACTGTCCCTAGATGAAAGGTTGGTGCAAAGACTTAATTATTTTCCATTGACTAGCACCAGGAAGAAACAATTTTCCATCATCAGATTATAACCATCCTGATGGTAGAAGCTGGCATCCATAGGAGAGAGCCCATTTAATTTCTGGCTGAAAGTATTTGGGTTGAATA